TGTGTTTTTCACTTTTAACTCTTTTTTTGCTTTAGCCTGAACACACCACCTGGAACTAAGGTTAAGCTCTCAGGCATTGTTGACATAAAAAACGGATTCCTACTCTTGAATGACTCTAATACCACAGTTCTCGGCGGTGAAGTGGAGCATCTTATTGAGAAATGGGAATTACAGAGAGTAAGTGTGAATTAAGAAAAATAGCTGGAACTTTTAAAATACTATACTCTTTATTGCATTATCATATTTTAAAGAGCATTTCCCATAGTGAATAGTAAAATTAGTCTTTTGTGTCAGGGTTGAATAGAATGGAATATGATTATCTTTAGAAAAACTGTCTGTCTTTGTCTAAGCATATTGTTCCTCTAAAGCAGATATAATTTTTAAGTATTACCATTTTATTACATACTTTTAAAAATCATTCCTTACTGACATGTTTCAAAACTACCAAGATAACAATTATAAGCTATGTATAATGTATCTGTGTATAATTCTTTCTGCAAAAAACAAGTGTTTGTGCATATATATGAATATAATGTACGTGTATTTGTCTCATCTACATATACACATACATGCAAATGAAAGCAAGTTAGATTTCACTATAATGGAGGGTTTTCTTGTTGCACCTGACTTTCTAGTCACATTAGTTGATGTTTTCCCCCATTTATGTTAGCAGTGTCTTCATCCTCCCAGTCATTTAGGTAATCTTGTAATTGTTCTGCTACTTTGCTTCCAGCAAATAATTCTTTTGTCCACTGCAGTCAAATCTCATATCATCCCTTGCTTTCCAGCCCCATTGCTGTTACTGTAGTTTAGGTCTTTAGTATCTCTTGCTTGTACTACTGTAGTAGCCTTTTAACTCACTCCATGTATCCTTTCCCTATTTTCTAATTTATTTCTTGTCCTTCTGCCAGATTATCTTCCTTCAGCATAGTTCAGAACATGTTACATCCTGCTTGTATATCAAATGCCTTAATTTGGGATTCAAGGCTATTTATAATCTAGCCCTAGTTTCAGTTTACCTTTTCACCTTTCTAAATTCTTCCACATAGATTTTGTTTTAGCCAAATGGAACTACTTCCTCTTTTTTGGTTTCTGTATGCTTTCCTCAGTTATACTTTTGGAAAAAAAGGAAAAGATTTTCCCACTTTTACATCATTCATCTTGTTTTCTCTTAATCTGTGCGTGGCCAAAGGATCCCCACGGTCTTTGACCCAGATCAAGCACGTGCTTCTTTAGGAAGTGAAGTTGTTATTCCTTTATTGAATACTGTAAACGCTTTGTTCTTACTAACAGTGTGTTACTTTTTACTTAGCGCCAAAGTCATGTTTATTTCTCATCTCCTTTAATAGATTGTAAGCTTCTTGAGATCAGAATTCTTGTTTGTATTATCTGTGTTCAATTCTACAAATATTTGTTGAACACTGTATATAGATATTGTGCTTTGCTCTTGCATCTGTATCTCATGTTATCCTCCTAATAGTTTTGTAAGGGGTATTGTGTTTATATAGATATAGAAAACGGACTTTTAAGAACTGTTAGATAACTTGA